TGATTTAGTCAAAAACTACAATGACCGAAAAGTGTTTTACAACTCGCAGTTGACGACATGCATATATTTGCAGGAATTCAAGAAAAAATACAATGACTGACTTATTAAGCTAGGGCTTTACTTCTTTCTTTAACGTTTTCCAAATTATAATCGCAAAGATACCTCAAAATACATATATAAGTCTTGCAAAATTACACGTTATGGCTGATCAAATCTGTTGATGACTTTTACTAGTAATACTGAAAAATGTAGTTTATTATATGGCACAATGTCCGACTACCCGCTATTAATTCCCTGTTGCTTAATGTGATTGAAAGATACAAAGAATTTACAAGACTGGTTATCCGGGGCAGACTTTATAGTATAATAAACTTATTATGTTACGGTATCAATTTAAACATTTTGGAATGTAAAATATTTTGTCCAACTGCAGCAAAGTCATCGTGACGGTGGCAAAGTTATCCAATTGAATTTCTGCACAAGCAAGTCAATGAAAATAACACAGGTCTACGTTGGTACTTTTTTTCAAAGTGATCTTATATGAACTAAACATCAGGCATCCCGTAGAAAGTGTAGAGAATGTGGAAAAGACAATCTCATCCAAACGCAGTAAATAGTAATGATCTATTTAAATATCTAATTTGAAGTTGGTGTCGTTTTGCATGATGGTAGATGATGATCATTAGCGTGTTGTTTAAAATGAATCTCGTCGTTACTCATACTCACTAGTGTTGCATAAACACAGTTATGGTTACCAGTACTTGCCGAAGAGGATGATGGGTATAATTTATAGCGAAGAGGTCGTACGACAGATTAAAGATGCATACCACTTTGTAATCATTATTTCCAATAATACAATTCATATATACAGAATCGTCCCATAAAAAAAAAACTTTTTTAGATTTAAATGCGTCAACTTCTCAAGTTTAAAGTGCGGTGGTCGTCGCGCAGCGCGTGTTCGAATAAACAATGTATTTTACACGCGTTGTATACGTCGCTATGGGTCCCATACGAACAGGACGCGGCGCGACGACTGCCACCCTTTAACCTCAGACTACTAGTCTGAGCTTTAACTGAGCGAATTGTTTGCATATGTTCCCATGAACGTTATCAGTATTCCACTTTATCAGATGAAGTTTGGAAGTTGTTGGACCAATTGTTGGACGGTTTGAGGTTGGGAGTCCTGTTAGTCGTCGCTCTATGGAGATCAGGCGTCCATGCTAAGCTCGGCATCAATATGGTCGGCCCGACGGAGGTTAGGACGACCAGGTTGTATAATGAGGGACGTATCGGCCCAGGGTGGAAACACAGCAGGCAAAAGTTCCCGTGTGGAGCAGTAGTGGGATCGCGCTCGTGAATAGGCAGCGGCTAGCAGCCCTACCAAAATAGTTGAACACAATCCTTTTTTTTTTTTCATTTTCCCGATTTATATCGAGTAATTATATTTACCACACACATTTCAATGTTTTTGTTACTTTTTCTCCCCCAAAACATTCACTTATCGTTTGTTTACCAAACGACATGAGACTGACAGAAAGCGACCTCTACCAAAAAAAGCAAACGTATTTTAAAGGTCGACAGTCGTCGTGCCGCGTCCTGTTCGATATGGAACTCATAGCGACTAGACTGGCGACTGTTAGCGCGAAATCCCCTGTAACACCTCCATTTCACGATTTTTTTTTATTTTATTTAAACTACAAAAAACAAATTAATCGCTCCGACTGCGCCAGTCTACATAGCGACGTATACAACACGTGTAAAATACATTGTTTATTTACATGAAATTTGAACACGCGCTGTGCGACGACCACCGTGCTTTAACCAAAGACGTTAAAATATGGCTATTGGCATTTCTGTCATCTTTATAAACATCTCAAACTGAAACTTGAGGTTTCTACACCTGGTTTCATAAAGGCGTGAATTTGTTTTATGGACATTTATAAAACATTTAGATCCTGGCGCTTAATTTGAAATCCAAAGACGATTTAATTAGCTGTAGAACAGTTAAAGCGCTAGGGTTGTCACCTGTGCACGCGCGGAAATTGAGTTCCAAGCGACGATAACAACAAACGCTAAAAACGAAAAGGCTCATGGGTAGACACTTGTTTGTAAACAGTGACACGCTATGACCATCTGAAGAATGCGCAGGTGTCGACTCCCCCGCTTTAATGGTAATGCCCAATAAATGCACTCAGTTACGAGAGTTACACATGCAACCCACACACCATCAACTGTGTTATGGACATTCCAGAGGGTCGGCAAAGGGTATTTTCGTAAGCTGTAATCAATTGCTTTTATTCTCGTAATAATGTAATTTAAGTAAATAAAAAACGTAAATTCGTCGACATGGGCAAGGTGTAATATGTAATCAGCTATTTTATTCGTTCGTAATTTGTACCATGGAAGTAATAAGAATTACCTCCATGTTTGAAACATCTTATTTTTTGTAAACTTATAAAGCATTTTCCACATTAAATGTCACAATTTGTGCACAATTTCCAATTTTAATCGCATAACGACCTCCAGGCGTGCATGACAACACAAGTCAGCAACTTTGCTGGAAATGTGGCAATTTTATTGTTCGGAACATTATGGCGGCAACAGTAAACATTGAAAATACGGTAACTCGTTTGCAGAAATGAAACCTGGTGTATCGGCCCATTGAATGACACTGGAACATTAAAAAAAAAAGATGTGGATAACAGTGGTGGATCTAGGGTGTGGGTTCTTGGGGTCCGGACCCCCCTATTGAAAAATTTATTCAATTTGTTTTTGTATAATATAAAAAATTCATTAACTTAGTCTGGTGATTTTAAAGTTTGGACCCCCCCCCCCCCCCCCCCCATAAAAAAAATCCTGTATCCGCCCCTGGATACACACAGTTACCTGGATGTATTCATTTCTATTAGGATTTATAAATATTTATAAGGTGAAGGGAATGCCTCTGTTGTGCTGACAGTATGCAAATTATGCAGATGTGTTATTCATGGTTATTTTGGCCTTAAAGAATGATTTACTACTAATAAATATGGATGAAAGAGAATACTGGTACTTCAGTTAGGTAAAAAAAACAACAACTTATGTTGCCCTCAAGTCGGGAAATTGAAAAATTGGGTCAGTCGGTCGGATTTTTTTTTTTTTTTAAACTCGTGAAAACTAAAGGTATCATAAATAGCCAAGGTATATGTAAAAAAACGCGACCCAATATTTCATATTTTTCGGTCGGTCGCTGAGGGCAGCAAAACACTTTTTTTTTTTGGCCTTATAGTAATGCAGGAGGTACTACTTTCCAGAGTACTTTCACTCCTTAACCGAATCTTCCAGCCACAACGATAGGTGTCCTGAAGAGGGGCATAAACAATTAAGGGTGAGGGTTAGGTTCGAGTTAGATTTAGAGGTGGGGGTACATTAGAAAATCTTTCTGTGCAGGACTTACACAAAGGCAAGCAAGGCACTGAAACTGGCAGATGGAAGAATACTAGAATTTACGCAGCCTTTCTTGTACGCTTTTGCTAAATGCAGAAAAAGGTTGCCGAGTCAGACCAGTAGAGGGTGCCATTGTCACCCCCACCCCACTCCAGAAAATCTTCTTCACAGGATAGAGAGGATTAACAAACCCCTTTTTTTTATTTAGACAATATCTAAAATCATTGGTAGTAATTGACTCGTAATAATATAAACATTGCCCTGGAACAGCATTCAAAAACAAAATGTCCATCAATCGGCCATTTTGAATCTTTTCTCATTTTTGAGGCATTTTAACTTTAAAAAGGATGGTATTCAACAATCTTCAATTCAAACATGAAATGAGTTCATGTACATATGTATACATATTTGCTATGTGTTAAGTCTGAATGTAATCGGCCCAGACATGTTTGAGATGCAGGTGCTACAACAGAAACGATGTGTCCCCCATTTTTAAACTACGTCTGAGCGACACGACAAAAATCTTTACTCTGTTTTCAATAACAAAAAATCATAATTGCCATCTATGGATTTTTTCTTGAAAAATCCACAGAACAATTTTATTTGCTCTGGCCTTAATAGAGCATAAAATTCAAAAACAGAAAAAAAATGCTAAATTTTTAAAAATTTCTTTATTAGGAGCCAGACAATTAAGTTAACTTACATTGCCTGGGGTTTGAAAGAAGAAAGATGTAATAACAATGACAATAGGTAAAGAATCTAAGTAATACCATGTATAGAATGTACCAAGCACAAGGAATTTATTAATTGATGATAAAACTATTAGTGAATAAAACCCACCCCTTAAATTACACATCTACTAGCCAATCAGCATAAATCAATGAAATTTCAACAACAAAATGTTCCCTCTGCACATTCTTTTTTTTAAAAACTTTTCTTGAAAGTGACAAAAATAAATACAAAAAAATGGGATATTGCCAACGTGCAACAAAATGTATTTCCCTTCACAATAAAGGAAGAATGCAAATGTATAACTTAAATAATGAATATTGTGTTAGAAAAGCATGTTTAATAGTTACACCATATCAAGTATGCAAATGAACACTACATAGGTATCTGGCAGTAAAAGTTAACCAAAGTAAAAAAAAAAAAAAAAAAAGTGTACAAAAATGTGTAATGTCCATCACTAGAGGGCTCAATTCCATTTTTTGGAATGCAACAATGCTGTTTTTGTAGCAGAAAGCTAAAAAATTAAATGTTTTCTTGTTTCAATGAACAAGATACATTTCGGAATTACAGAGTATATAAACAAAGAAACTGTTCTTGCACATGATCAAGTTCAACCCTCTACTGTCAAATTAAGTCATCTTCCACATTTTCTGATTTCCATAAAATACGTTGATCAAGAAATATAAGCAATATTATATTCATTTTGTTTCAAATTAAACAATGAATTAGAGAACATTACAGTAAATTTGCAAATATATGCACCCAAATTTTGGCGAAAAAAAAATCCATCTAAATTCTATAAAATTGACACAATAAATAGTACCTCAAAAATATGTGAGTGAGTTGAAAGACCAATATAAGGCTAAAGTAAAAATCAAAAGAGTTGCATTTGTGCTTGACAAGATTAAGCAAGTTTTATAAAAAGAACAATACCAACAATGCAGACACTTGACAATGGATTTTCTTGTACACTCAAAAGTTACAAGATATACACAATTATTTTCGTTGCATTTCAAAAAAGTTTAATTTTTTGAAAACACAATATGACCATCATCTTCAGCGAAGAACATGCGACAGACTTCAATTACCCAGAATCCTCTCAGTTTCTACAATCGTAACACTTGACCTGAGATTGGATTTCTTGAAAGTCAACTTGTCAATTCGGGCAGGGGAATAATCAATTATTCATCCCTTTCATATGCAAATTATTTTTTGTATCCATGATTCAAACTTGGCATCACGTGAAAACTTGTTCGTTAATTGTTTAAACACTATTGGGTAATGTTAACCAAGTTTCACAAAAATCAGACCACACTAACAATACCACAAACTATTAAATTATTTTGAGAAAGAAAATCTGAATTATACATCAATGAATTAAGAAACAAATGCCCAATGCTCGCTGTGTACTGATGACATTTGCCAGATATCTACAGCAGAGTGCAAGAAAGTCACATAAAGGTCATCGAAAAGATGAGCAGAATTTCTTAAAAAAGTTTTTGGTTATAGCCTACAACCACCATATACATTACTTTCATGCAAAGACAAACTTGAATGTAAAATAGAATGAAAAAACAACAAATACATGGAATATTGAAAGAACAGATCACTACATAAAAATGTTGCTTTTTATGTTTGGCAAAAAAACAATTCAGAGAAAGCAACAATTGTAAATTTATGGTAATAGAAAAAAATACAACTGTAGATGTAATGTTTTTTTCAAGAGCAGCCTTAAGATGAAGTTTATCAGACGCTCTTCATTTGTGACTTGTGTATTCATCGGTATGTATTTTGAGTAAAGGATGAGAATGGAAAATTGTGAAATTCCCCATGACCCTTGTCTTCAAGACCCCAGTGAAAATCACTGGGACCCTCGTCTCCAGAACCCCAGTGAAAGTCACTATGACTCTTGTCTTAAAGACCCCAGTGAACGTCACCATGACCCTTGTCTTCAAGACCCCAGTGAAAGTCACCGTGACGCTTGTCTTAATGACTCCAGTGAAAGTCACCATGACCTTTGTCTTAAGGACCCCAGTGAACGTCACCATGACCCTTGTCTTAAGGACCCCAGTGAAAATCACTATGAACCTTGTCTTCAAGACCCCAGTGAAAATCACTGGGACCCTCGTCTCCAGAACCCCAGTGAAAGTCACTATGACTCTTGTCTTAAAGACCCCAGTGAACGTCACCATGACCCTTGTCTTCAAGACCCAAGTGAAAATCACTGGGACCCTCGTCTCCAGAACCCCAGTGAAAGTCACTATGACTCTTTTCTTAAGGACCCCAGTGAACGTCACCATGACCCTTGTCTTCAAGATCCCAGTGAACGTCACCATGACCCTTGTCTTCAAGACTCCAGTGAAAGTCACCGTGACGCTTGTCTTAATGACCCCAGTGAAAGTCACCATGACCCTTGTCTTAAGGACCCCAGTGAAAGTCACCATAACCCTTGTCTTAAGGACCCCAGTGAAAGTCACCATGACCCTTGTCTTAAGGACCCCAGTGAACGTCACCATGACCCTTGTCTTAAGGACCCCAGTGAAAATCACTATGAACCTTGTCTTCAAGATCCCAGTGAAAATCACTGAGACCCTCGTCTCCAGAACCCCAGTGAAAGTCACTATGACTCTTGTCTTAAAGACCCCAGTGAACGTCACCATGACCCTTGTCTTCAAGACCCCAGTGAAAATCACTGGGACCCTCGTCTCCAGAACCCCAGTGAAAGTCACTATGACTCTTGTCTTAAGGACCCCAGTGAACGTCACCATGACCCTTGTCTTCAAGACCCCAGTGAAAATCACTGGGACCCTCGTCTCCAGAACCCCAGTGAATGTCACTATGACCCTTGTCTTAAGGACCCCAGTGAACGTCACCATGACACTTGTCTTAAGGACACCAGTGAAAGTCACCGTGACCCTTGTCTTAATGACCCCAGTGAAAGTCACCATGACCCTTGTCTTAAGGACCCCAGTGAACGTCACCACGACCCTTGTCTTAAGGACCCCAGTGAAAGTCACTATGAACCTTGTCTTCAAGACCCCAGTGAAAATCACTGGGACCCTCGTCTCCAGAACCCCAGTGAAAGTCACTATGACTCTTGTCTTAAGGATCCCAGTGAACGTCACCATGACCCTTGTCTTCAAGACTCCAGTGAAAGTCACCATGACGCTTGTCTTAATGACCCCAGTGAAAGTCACCATGACTCTTGTCTTAAGGACACCAGTGAAAGTCACCGTGACCCTTGTCTTAATGACCCCAGTGAAAGTCACCATGACCCTTGTCTTAAGGACCCCAGTGAAAGTCACCATGACCCTTGTCTTAAGGACCCCAGTGAAAGTCACTATGAACCTTGTCTTCAAGACCCCAGTGAAAATCACTAGGACCCTTGTCTTAAGGACACCAGTGAAAGTCACCATGACCCTTGTCTTAATGACCCCAGTGAAAGTCATCATGACCCTTGTCTTAAGGACCTCAGTGAAAGTCACTATGACGCTTGTCTTAAGAATCCCAGTGAAAGTCACCATGACCCTTGTCTTAAGGACCCCACAGTGAAAGTCACCATGACCCTTGTCTTGAGGACCTCAGTGAAATTCACCATGACCCTTGTCTTAAGGACCTCAGTGAAAGTCACCATGACCTTGTCTTCATGACCCCAGTGAAAATCACTGGGACCCTTGTCTTAAGGACCCCAGTGAAAATCACTGGGACCCTTGTCTTAAGGACCCCAGTGAAAGTCACCATGACCCTTGTCTTGAGGACCTTAGTGAAAGTCACCATGACCCTTGTCTTAAGGACCTCAGTGAAAGTCACCATGACCCTTGTCTTCATGACCCCAGTGAAAATCACTGGGACCCTTGTCTTAAGGACCCCAGTGAAAGTCACCATGACCCTTGTCTTAAGGACCGCAGTGAAAGTCACCATGACCCTTGTCTTAAGGACCCCAGTGAAAGTCACAATGACCCTTATCTTAAGGACCCAAGTGAAAGTCTCAATGACCCTTGTCTTAAGGACCCCAGTGAAAGTCACCATGACCCTTGTCTCAAGGGCCCCAGTGAAAGTCACTGGAACACTTGTCTTAAGGACCCCAGTGAAAGTCACAATGACCCTTGTCTTAATGACCCCAGTGAAAATCACTGGGACCCTTGTCTTAAGGACCCCAGTGAAAGTCACCATGACCCTTGTCTTAAGGACCGCAGTGAAAGTCACCATGACCCTTGTCTTAAGGACCCCAGTGAAAGTCACAATGACCCTTATCTTAAGGACCCAAGTGAAAGTCTCAATGACACTTGTCTTAAGGACCCCAGTGAAAGTCACCATGACCCTTGTCTCAAGGGCCCCAGTGAAAGTCACTGGAACACTTGTCTTAAGGACCCCAGTGAAAGTCACAATGACCCTTGTCTTAATGACCCCAGTGAAAGTCACTGTGACCCTTGTCTTAAGAACCCCAGTGAAAGTCACTGTGACCCTTGTCTTAAGAACCCCAGTGAAAGTCACTGTGACCCTTGTCTTAAGGACCACAGTGAAAGTCACCCTAACCCTGTCTTAAGGACCCCAATGAAAGTCACAATGACCCTTGTCTTAAGGACACTAGTGAAAGTCACCATGACCCTTGTCCTAGGTACCCCAGTGAAAGTCACTGTGACCCTTGTCTTAAGGACCTCAGTGAAAGTCACTATGACCTTCGTCTTCAGGACCCCAGTGAAAGTCACTATGACCCTCGTCTTCAGGACCCCAGTGAAAGTCACTGTGATCTTTGTCTTAAGGACCCCAGTGAAAGTCACTATAACCCATGTCTTCAGGACCCCAGTGAAAGTCATCATGACATTTCTCTTAATGGTTTTCATTGGAGTAGTGACTATATAATGTTTGCAACAATAAGAAATTGTATCGGCATGGGGACACAGGTCATATAGGGACAGAGTCACATTGAAATCCACAATTTTGAAAAAATGTTTTTGTAAGAAACGGCAAGCTTGTATTTCACTCTCATAGTAAATACCTTGTTTCTGCACCCACTGTAGTTTTACTAAAAGGTGAATACTCCTGAATACAACTATTCTTGTTAAATGAAAGTTCGAGGGAGTGCATTTGAAATGACAGTCATGATTTATAAAGAACTTTTGTTTACTGAGCATGGATGGAATGTATTGAAAATAAACTCCACATGACATAACTTCCTTCAAAGTTCAGAAATGAATGACGAAATTAATTATTTGTTGTCTTGTGTAAAAGTGTCTGTGGATATTTAACCCATCTTAATACTTGATCAATCACATCAATGTCTTCAGTTTTCAAGCTTATGACGCCTACTTATCAATCACAATGGAATGACCCATGATGAACAATAAAGCAATACATAGTACTTCAAAAATATGTGAGTGAGTTGAAAGACCAATACCAAATTTTTCTCCCAGCACCTATCTTTCTGAAGTGTTTCACATTTGTTCTTTGATTGGGTTACCTAAGTTTCTTAACAAAACACTCCAGCTTGAAAATATAACAGTAAAAAGTAAAATTTTACTGAGGGGTACTAATTAGGACCCCTTAGGTGCTGATAGTGTCTCCGGTGGCAAGCAGATTGATTGCCACTTCTAGCTCTAGGACAATACAAATCACTGCAATGATTAATATCAGAAGAGTGTTTTGTGAACTAGTGAAAAAAAGTGATGTACAGGAAAATATACTGTTACCATATAAACATTCCTTTCCTATAGCACTGTTACTCCATTTTTCTTTTCAATCAAAATAAAAACTGGACTATGTTTTGAAAGAATTGGAATTGTTAAAATCAAAGAAAAAAATTATTGAACTTCGAACAAAGACAGTAGTGAGAGAAAATATCTAAATAAGCGTAAATTGAGAAAAGTGCACTATCTAAGAAAAAGTATGGAACGTGCAGCAATTAATTTTCAAAAAATGTTTTCTTTTTGTTTTAACAATTTATGTAAAGAATGTAAAATCTTGGCTTTTGTGGTTCTGTAGTAGTTAGGGAAATTGTAAATTAAACCCTGTGTCAATAAACTTGCATCTTTTGATTGGTTCTTGCAAATTTTATCTTTTTTTCTAATATTGGCACTATGTATGTTGTACACAGAGAAACAAATTAGCCACTATTATTGGAGCAATGATTGGTTCTGAAATTTTAAATGACATTACATCTACAAATAGACTAGTGAAAAAGAAATATTTTTGTTAAATATTTGTGGTGGTTTTTAACTTTCTTTTGAAAAAAAGAAGCTTATTTTCCCCACTACATCCAAAAGCACATAAGCAAATCTGGAATAGTTAACATCCAAAACCATGAACTGGCAACAAAATGCCCCACTACAATACATCTATAAATTTACACATTAATTCCCCTCAAAAGTTAGCTACCATTGGAAAAATTTCAAAAGCTGAGATAAAAGTACCAAATGGAACCCAAAATTTGTTGAAAGTGTTATTTTAGAATCTTGGATATGCAATATAACAAGCAAGTGCTCATGTGTCAAGCATCAAAAATTACTAGTGCCCCCTAACTTAGTCTAGCTTAGTCAAATTACTAGTGCCACCTAGCTTAAAAGTCAAATTACTAGTGCCACCTAACTTGGTCTAACTTAGTCCAATTGTTGGAGACACCCAACCAAGTCTTGCTTAGTTCAATTACTAGTGCCACCTAACTAAGTCTAGCTTAGTTCAATTACTAGTGCCACCTAACTAAGTCTAGCTTAGTCCAATTGATAGTGCCACCTAGCTGAGTCTAGATTAGTCCAACTGTCACTGTCTAAATTTTATTCCAAGTTTCAAGTATTGCACAAGTGCTGATATTTAATTGACAAATCTACGAATAAAAGATATTTCCTGTCTGTGTCATTAGCACTGAGTTGAGAAACTATACCTCCAAAATGAGGTGCTCAAAAGTCAAATGGTTTGCACTTTGATAATGGTGCCAAAAAAACTTGAATGAATGAATGAATGTCCCAAAGCCACTCTTTTAAGGTTTTAAAATAGAAATATCCTAAATTTGTTAAATATTGTTAGAAATAATTACCTTTTCACCATGTACTGAGTTCAAAGCTTTATAATTTTAAGTGAATCTCCACACTAAACAACGAAGCGATAAAGTGACCTCTTTACTTCTGTGTTATTTCGTTTCAAGTCACTCTTTTATTGCAAATTTCTTTGCATATTCAGATTAACAAAGAGTCAGTCTGACTTGACTTCCCCATCAGTCCATAGGAACAATGTTCCCAGAAATTCAGTCTCAATGTGGAGTTATGATAGCCATCCTGGAGCTGATATCCAGCAAAAAAACAAGATGGCGGACAGCAATCACAAAAGCTGGTTGTCACCCCAACCACAGATACGGCAAAAGCATCAGTAAAAAATGCCTTCCTAAAAGTCTGAAAAATTCCAAAAAAAAAGGTTGCATCTAAACTGATATGCAGTTTGGATTCAGTTGCCAGAAAATAGTCAGCTGAAGTAAATGACCTTTGACCTTCAGGATTTCTTGTAGAAATTCCTCAATATCTTTACAAAAAATCTTGGCTGTTAGCAAAAACAGAGTGAGAGATACTCACCAACAAATCAACTTTGAAACCAAACATATCTGAATTATTCACCCTGCCAACAACCTTCAAAAACGTTTTGAGTTATCACTCACTCTCTCTCTCTCTCTCTTTTTTTTCACTCACTCATTGGACAATTCTGAAACCCATTGTCATATTCTTTATAATGCTAATTACAATAAATTAAAGAAGTATTATTTTGATGGTGCACTGGGAGCTCCTGAGCGATGAAAATGTACATTCTGCCATTTACTGTCCTTCTTCAGCCATACCCTGGTCTCTTCTGACTGTGTAGTCACTGGACAACCAGTCCTACAAATCACAATTTATTTTTGTATAATTTCGTGAGTGACAAATTTTCAGTGAAAACGCTAAATTTTGTAGCAATGAAAATTTATCTGGAGTCATATGACATGGAATATCAGCGACTTTCATGAAATTTGATCTTTACAAATGCTATAAAAAAATCATAAATCAAGAAAAATCTTATAAGTGAAAATTAAGCGATAAACAGTAAGGGGTGATCTCATATTCAAACACCTGGGTCAAACCTGGGTTAACCTGGGTTTACCCGACCTGCCCTATTCAGACCTACTAGACCTAAAATATGCAAATTAGTAGTAGGTTTGAACCTAACCTCCGGATTAACTGCCCATTAACGCCCCCACTGAAAACAAACAACAGAGAACAAAGAAGA